CCTGGAATTTCTATTGTTTTTTTTAAACTGACCCCCCCCCCCCCTCCCCTGGAGCCCTTACTAGCCCTGGAGCTTTCAATCATTTTTTTAACAAACTTTCCCATGACTCAACCCCATTCCCCAATGACAGATGATAGCAAGTCCAAAAACTTAAAATAAGTCCAATCCGACAACAGAGTAAAAGAAAATATATCATTGCCTGAGGTTTGTGAAGCTTCTGTTTATGCCACAGTCGACAATTTTTTTTCCTTATCTCATCTTACTGCTTACTGTTATTCGAAAGAATAAATGAATAATTTATGAAGTTCTTGCCAGATAATTTAACAAATTAAATGAGAGAAAAAAAAACAGAATGTGAATAAGTAAGTGAGATGGAGATAGACATGGAAAGTTTATCCTTGATGTACATATGGATATTCAATCTATATTTGTGTACGTAAAGACGATAGAATGTTTGCATGATGATGTTATTTCAGATGTTCGCCATCTCATGCATAAAGTCATGAAGTGGAGACTAGCAAAAAAAAATTGTTCAAAATGTTCAGGATGTGATGGAATAACTTAATTGATGCTTTAAGATCACGACATCTTCTTTTGTTTTTTTTTTTTTATTTTGCCATCGAATGTTGCACGCAAATTCGAAATTAAAAACAGAAAAAGCTGCCATGTCTGTTGCTGTTGCTGTGTACTTGTCATGATTACAGAACGAAAAAAAAATAGTAGGAATGAAAATTACCATACCGAACCTATTCATTTAATCTCTCATGCCATCACAAAAAGCACGAAATGGAAAATTAATTCTGCAACTGCCAAAAACATTTTTAGTAAATGTTTAATTTCCGAATTCATAGAACACAGACAAAAGCAATGGATGATGAATCGGTAGGGGTAGTTTTGAAGTTATTTATAGGCAATGGATATGTGGCGCATTTTGTGGATTTAATAGTTAAATTATATCGGCTAAGATTCTGAAGGGAGGGCCTTAAAAAGTTATGTGTGATAATAATTAACGTCAAATTCTCATAGCCAAAACAATTTATCAGCTTAATCTTTGTTTAAATTTTCATAATTTTATCCACAACTCTGTAGAGTCTTAACACAGTTTAAATATACTTTAATATAATAAATAGTTTTATTGCACTTTTGTACACTTAAATATCTATTCAAAAAGTGACCGTTATTTATCCGCTCAATGTAGCTTCATCCTCTCGATCTTAACGCAGCTTCAGACCCCAACAAACTCAACTAAAACTTTAGTTCCAAAAAACCGCAATGAAAAAAACATCAAAATGGAATTAGAAATGAACTGAGTGTTCATAAATAATAAAAGCTAGTCCTTTATTTTATCAGTCCAGCACATTCAAAACCACAAACACAATCGGCTCATCAACTGCTAAATCCTGTCCCTAGCATTACACTAGCAAAATAGAATGTCGAGAGAGATGTTTGTAATGAGATAATGCGAACGTGATGAATGGTTTTTGTTCTTGTCTCTTGTCACTCTTTGTTAATGCTTTCATTATTTTGCATTTATTTGTGTAAAGCAGTCCGTCCTCAGATGTTTCTATACAAATTCCTAAAGCACTTGTCCATGTACGTAATGAAGTAACAAAAAGGTTATTTATGGAACTGAAAATTGAGAGATAAATTTGATGCAAACTAAATTAAGGTCAATAAAATAATTTACATTAAATAAAATCCAATAATCATCAGTTCCGATCCATACAAAAAAAGAAAATCCAATATCCTAGCACCAGCATGTGTACAGTATGTTTATTATTATTTAGCTTCTTTTATTAATTTTCGATGTTAACAGCCAACAAAGTATGGAAACTAGTAAAGAGCAATAAAGAACAGTTGTTGTGTATATATTGAGAGTAGCTACAAAAAAAAAGCTCATAATAAACAAAAAACGTGCTTCTCACATAACATTAAGAATATGATTAGAAGATACATAAAAATGTATTTCCAACACGCTACATTTAATTTCATTGTAAGCGATAATTTTTGCAACACACGTAACATTTTTTTTTTGATCCTGCCTTCCTCGCTCTTTATCGAGGTTTATAAAAAAACTGAGCACCCCTTCACACTGTGAATTAAATTGAGAACTTTTTTCCCACGTTCTTTACTCTTTACTTTATAGCGAGTTATTTTTTATGCAGAGTACATGTAAGCTCATGTTCAATTTGGTTCACTAGCTGGATAAGTAAACAAAGTAAGCTTCATCTAGTTTTTAATTTGCAGTAAAAATACAAAATTGTGTTTAAAAAAGTTAAAGTAAATTTACGATTTATGGTTTGGTGCATAACGAAACATTTTAGATTTTTGATAGGAATTGAATGATGAAATATTGAGAAAGGATATCTGAGCTGATAAGATTATGATGTGAGATCTTAAGATCAATGAGAACGACTCTAGAAAATTTCAATTTTGAAGTTATTAATCTTCAACAACTAATGAATATCTAATGTTTTTGATATCGTTGGCAAACTTGATTTTAAAATTGTCAGGAAATCCAGTAATCATAACCTAATTTAGGTCTCATTTTGTAGATGAAAATACGATGCGCGGACTACCCAAGAGATCCTGGAAGGTAGCTGTTGACAGAGATAGCATAACATTTGGTATTGGCGATTGGAAGAGAGTAGCCAACGATAGTCTTTTTGAGAAGTCAACTAAGGTAAGCTATGGATCACAATTGATTTGTAAAGCCATCAATGTATGCATATATAATTAATTTAAACTTGTCACAGGCAAGATTTTTTGTACTACTGCACATTTTGGGTGAAATCAATGACCCAAACCACAAAAGACACACGGTTTGTTTGATTTCTCGAATTTTCATGGCACAGATGCCGTAGCACAGGGACGTAGCCAAGAATTTGAGGAGGGGGGACCAAAATATTTTTTTTTAAATTTAAAGTGGGGAGGGATTTATAGGATTTTTTCATAAAATTTTATGAGAATTTCTGTTGATGCAAAGGGATTTGCCGACAAATTTATGACTTAAATCCCCGTCCACGGCTCTGGGCTTCATCTCTTAATCTGTTGTAAACAAATATTACAATTCACATCCCCCCGCCAATTTTGAAATTATTTAAAAGCTACTCTATACTAAATGATTAAATTTAGCGTCAAAAAATCCAAAGATCGAATTATAAAAATTCAATCGTATTTTTAAAATGCACTTTAACGTCCTAAACAAATGTAAACATTTCTACTTCATTTTACATCATCAGGTTTAAAGAAAATAAAAAAAATATATTCAGGAATGAAAAATTTCTCAAACATCACCATGAACTCAATGTTGTGTTAAGCTGTATTGTAATGCTTTTTTTTCTTCTCCTTCTATTTTTATTTTAAGTACAGGGAGTGTAAAGTATGTACGTGAAAATATTTTAACAATGTCATATCGTTTCATACATGCTTCATACTTTTTTTTATTTCTTTTTAGGATATATTTTATGTGCATAATGTGGGTGAAAGATAGAGCGAGAGTTAAAAGTTACGATATTTTCATGGATATTAGGTATGAGATTTTTACTCCTTTTTTTATTGTCTTACTTTCAAGGACAAAGTATGAAAATAAACGACTTAAAAAAATAAATTCAATTTTTTTATAATTTATTTTTTAATATTAAATGCGATTCATGTGTGGAGTTTGAATATGGAATTTTTATTGGATTAGGCACATACGTGTCGTAAATTAAAAGCTTGAATTTTTAAGCTTCGCTAATCTCTTCTAAAAACTTTTTATGGCTTTTATGTGTTGAGATTTAAATATTTTTTTTTTCAAATAATTTTAGATTGTGCATTTAAAATTATTGAAATTTCATTTTTGGTGGTCGAATTGAAGATATTTTGTGGCATTCAACGTTGAATACTTTATAGATTAGAAAAAAGTTTTCATACTTCTGGGACATTGAACGCTAATTACTTAATAGATTAGAATTAAATTTCATGCTTTTCGGAAACTATAAAGTATTCAACGTTCAATGCCCCAAAAGTAGAAAATATTAATCCTAATCTAGGAAAGTATTCAACGTTCAATGCCCCAAAAGTAGAAAATATTAATGCTAATCTAGGAAAGTATTCAACGTTCAATGCTCCAAAAGTAGAAAATATTAATGCCAATCTAGGAAAGTATTCAGCGTTTAGTCCCCCAAAAGTAAAATAAGAAAATTATAAATATGAAATGTTTAGAGTTAAAATACTTTAAATGTTTTAAAAGGTCATCAATTTTTTCACCCAAATCCTAGCAAAATGAAGAAATTTCCGTTAACGTGAGGGACTTGTCACCAAAATCCTCCCTCTCCCCCAACCCAGATTGCACCTGGATATGGATCACTATAAAAAATCTTTAAAACTATTAAAATACTTTAAAAAACAACAACTATTAATTCACATTTTTTAAACACTTTATTCTCAAAACTTCATGTACATGCTTGACTTGAAAACTCCCCTCCATCCCCAAATAATTCCATTAAATTTTATTAACATCTCCACTTTCAAGAGATTACCAGTTTATCAGAAACATATCCCATGCTACAGAAACTTTGTTAATAAAGTTCTCCCCAAGTTCATATCCACTTAATAGAAGAAATTTGAAACTCTTTGCATTAGTACCAATCATTATCTAAAAAAAAAGTTTGAAGCCTTTTATGTAATTTCATTAACTAATCTTTCTTCTTATCGTGGTCGCTTAATCTCTCGTTGTTGATCCCTTCAAAACTTTCAATGGAAGAGATTGTCATTGAGAATAATTGAATTAGTTTTGAGGAAAAGGTTTTTTTTTTCTCCTTCTCTGTTCATAATGATGATGATACACGTTTTGTTAATTTAATATTTTGCGGTATGATTTTTAAATGAGTTGTTCCTTTTGATTGCGTTAGTGAGATCATAATTGAGTTTTATGGAAGTTTGAATCATACGATGAGTAATTTTATTATTCATTAAATTTGTTTGTATTATTTCAGTTCGAGAAATCATTTTTGTAAGCCTTTGGTTCTTTTTATTTTTGTATTTTTAAATGATAATAAGTCACTAGAGAAATGCCTCAACACTTAATGCACATTTTTAAAAAACAAAATTGTAAATCTGATCTTAAAATTCCATTCAACTATAAAATTAAGTCCAATCCATCTTTAAAACATCATTAAACATCCAGGTTTGAATTTATAGTTTATAATTTAATTCTTGCCATTAAGCTTTAATTTTTCCTGCTCGATTTATTGCTCTTTGAAGTTCCATTTCGACTCAAAATTTGCTGAATGTTTTCATCAGTCAGAACTTGATCTCCACAATCCAAAACTATAACTTCATTATTTAAATTTCCAACTGGAATTGAACTCATCAAATCTTTATCATTATCTTGAATAAAAATCACTTCATTTTGATTTTCAGGCACTTCTTTTTCTTCAGATCTTGTACAGCAATTCTTAAAAAACCAACAAAAGTCAATAAAATTCACACCTTTGCAGCATACTTTCATAATCCAAATGATAACTAAGAGGAAAATAATTCCTAAAATTATATAAACCGTGCTGTCCGAAGTACCTGCTTCAAAATTATTAGGCGGCACTGGATCTAGATCTTGATTAAAGTCCATTTTTATTATAAAATTTTCTCCTTCTTTTTTCGGAACCTAATTTGTTCAACTGATTTAATCAAACTGAATAGTAAAAAAAAAAAAAAAAAATAGTGATTCTACATTAAAAATTCTATTTTATCTGTTTTGTGTCGTATTTTAAAATGATAATTTTTTTGTATTACTAATAAGTTTTAGGCTGTCCATCTTATTAATTTGGCTAAGGAATTATTAAATTTTAATATTTTATTTGATGGATTTTAAAATAAATTGAGGAGGAGTTGAGATTGTTATAAAAAACTACAGAAGTCCTCGTGATATTGATCGAGGGACTTAAGCGCATTTTTGTGTTTGCGATCAGTATTTGATTATCTAATTATTAATTTGTTGCAATGAATTTCCATACAGAAAAGGTTTATCATTTAACGGTTTTTTGAAATTCAAATTTTACAACGGCTGGAAAAAATTTGAAATTATAGAGGTAATGTTAAAATTATAGAGGTAAAATAAAATTTGGGCAGGTTACACTGAAAACAAAACAAAAATTCATTAATTACAGCATAAATACACTGTTTCAAGACTTTTAAGCATTCGATGGGCCAATAAATCGATAGTAACGGACATAATAAAACAAACGCGAGCTCTCTACGATGTCTAATTAAAAAGTTTTTCTTCGCCTGAGCAGCCGAACAGCCGAAAAAAGTGTATTATTAAGCTACCTTTTAAAAACAAGTTTCAAAAATGCGCTAAAAAGTTGTCGATAAGGGTTAATGAGACAAAAAAACCTCACTGGAAAGGCCAGTCCCAAATAACATAAGTCGGTTAATTGATCAAACATCATGCACCAAGCTGGTGTGAAACTGGCATGGTGCTGGATTTAAATAGAAGCCTCAAAAGATTTGCTTTCGATTAACCAACTTGTGCTTTTCTGGAGTGTTGTCAGCAGGCGTAGCCAGGAATTTGAAGAGGGGGGGGGGGGGGGGGGGGATTTTTATGATTTGTTCATAAAACTCGTTACAAAATGAAGAAATTTTTGTTAATGTTGAGGGGTTTGTCCCCCAAATGGTTGTCAGCCCAGCCGGACAGTACTTGGATATGCCTCTGATGAGGAATGATTTACATGTTGACTAATAGGACAGTTTAATTATGAGTAATAAAAATTAATGGAGATAAAATAAGTTCCAAAAGATGAATAATTCCTATTTAAAGCAAGAACTACTCAATGAAGTTGTATTTTGTAAATGATTTTTTAGGCATATTCACCAGTGTCGCCAAAAAAAGAGAGAGTCTGAATTATTTTTGAAAAAAAATAAAGGGGCCGTTCACTTATGACGTCCAGGTGGGGGAAGGGATAGCTAGAAAAGAAAATAAACGACCCCACAGATGAGTATCAGCAAATGCTAGACAAAAAGCCTAAAAACATCAAAAGTTAAAATAATTTTTATTCTACGAAGTGGGGGACATTAAGAGCACCCAAGCTTATTTCAAGTCTTTGCCAAAAAAAGTAAAATATTGAATTTACGGTTCCATAAATAATCAGAATGTGAATTAATCATTGCAACATCCCATTAATCACCATTAATCATCATTAGATAAATTACTAAATCTCTTCTCGTATTTGCCTTGCCTTTTTTCCTTTCTCCATCCTCAAAATATCTTTGATATTTTTTTTTTCATCACTAAGCATCTAAATGTGCGAATCCTTTTCAATATAAATATAAATTTTCTTCCCAGTAGGTGATAAAGCCCTTCCATTCGATTCAGTTCAATTTAAAATCAAAAATCGTAAACAATTTCTGTGCAAAGCCTACATATATCCATAAAAAAGGCAGCAGCATCGGAACGAATGAAAAGAAACATTTGGCGTAATCCATATCAATGTCAATGAGCATTTATGTGTCTATGGATCTACATTAAATTGCATACACACGCACGCACATGACGTAAAAGAAAATGATAAGAAATGGAAACAGAATGTGATGTGTGCGGGACGGTGCTTGAAAATCAAATCACATTATTTATAATTTAATGTTCATTGTATTTGTGATGATTTATGGTTAATATTTTTAAGCCAATTTTCTAGGATGCTTATATGATCAGGATGAGCAAGTTTAATGGTCTTTGATACTTTATGAAATGCGAAAACAATGCGCAGTCCAAAAGTTCATGCACGTTTGTTCAATTTATAGTTTATGGGACGATATTCAGCTGTAAAAAAATGTGAATTTAAATTCTGAGAGAAGTAATGATGTTGGGTGTGGAATTTATGAAGATGGCGCATTTTTGGGAAATTTATAAACGAATCACTAGCTTGTGGATGCATTTTTAATAGGTTTGTCTAGGTTCATAGCGATGCTGACAAGCTCCCCCTCCTTGTTCTCCCTTAACCTCCCAAAAGTATTCATTTGAACACACAACAATTCATTGATCTTATTCAATGGTTTCACAATAGACTATCCACATCCATAACCATTAAAGTATCCAACCTTCTTTATGTCCTATTAATCAACCCATAAATCTAATCAAAACCATAAAAATTAATTTGTAGCCGTTCAATAAATCTTCTAATCGTCCAAGTCCTACGTGATTATTTCATTTTTCATCTTTAAAACTATCGAAACCTCTAAACTTAGACAAAATGACCCCACATTCTTTATTTACATTAAAACCTTGCATAACAGAAATGCATAAAATTTATTCATTTGTTTTAAAACGATTTTTTGACAATTTATGAAGCCATAAATTCAAATTGATCGACATTTTGCAATCAAATAGAAACAATGGAGGATGAGGCTCCAAAATAAACAATTTATTGATTCAATAATGAAAATCAGTGCATTCAGCATAAGAAAAAAATCTAATTTAAATGATTTCAGCATAAAAACCCCTCCCAAGTACTCAAAAATGATCCAATAATCGCATTTGTGTTTGCCGAAAAGTTCGCATTTTCTTTATTGAGGTAGAAAAAGAAATTGGATGGAATAAAGAAGAAGCAATTTTTTATGGCGTTTTCAGAATCTGGATTTACTCATTTTATTATATTTTCAAGCCATAAGACCTTACACAATATAAAAGAAATAAAAGAATTGAATTATTCACATATACATGCACAAATCTCACCCTCACACACATGCAAAAGACGCACAATAGAAAATAAGTTAAAGACAGCAAACGGAAAATTTTACTGAAAACGTGCTTCATTCGATTTTATGAACCATTACGAATGTACGATCCCGACGGAGCAATAAAACGAGTACTTTCCATCCATTCAACATAAGAAAAAAAGCACAACATGAATGTGGGAGATAGAAGAAGAAATGAGAGTGATTCTGGCGTTTCTCAATAAAATTAATAAATTTTTATGGCTCTTGCCAAGGTCTTTGCGCTTCTGTTTTTCTATTGAATTGGTATTGAATGGTGGAGACTTGAAAAATAAGATAAATAAATAGGAAAAAGGAGCGCGTAAAGGAGGATGATGTTTATTGAACTTGAAAATGGTCGAACAGCAAAAACAAGATCGGCAATTTATTTTTGTGATTAAATTTTTTTTTGTCTGTACTTTTTTCTTTTGAGGAGCTTTTAGCATATTTTTATAAAAATAAAAAAGTTTTATTTCGATGATTGAAGAATTAGGGATGTAATGATATCAACTAATGGCATGTTGGAGTACTAATCAGAAGTAGAATTTTATTCTCTTAGTTGTGGACATGTAACTGACTTTCAAAGTGTCCCAAAGATCAGAAAATTAACGTTCTAATTACCCTGTTTTTGCGTTATAAGCTAGTAGCTTGGGAGATTAAAAAAATGATTTTTCTAGGCTCACTAGTAGTTTAGTAACGAGTAGTAGCGTATAACGAAAAACAGGATACTATTGGCTTACGAATGATTATGCTTCGAATAAAAAATCCTTGAATATTCCTCCACATCTTGTCCTGCCCTTGTTAAGCTATTTGTATGATAGAATATTAATTTTGATCATGAACTGAAAATCTACAATTCCGAAAGACTTTTAGGCTCCATTAAAGATTAATAAAATGCTTGCTGTGCAGTGGAATATACTATTAAAAGCCTGGATCCCCCTTCGATCCTCTGACTTTGCGCCTTTATTCTTTTATTCTTGTCTTTGTGCTAATCTGTAGCATCTCTGGTAATAGCATCGATGGTAGGATAATTAAGCGACAGACTTTAGTTAATCTTATCTTCAATTTCGTGAGTTAAAATCTCACAACTTCTCAATTTTGCTCACGCTTTTAAACTATTCATTTATCAATTTTGTAATCAACTTGTAATGCAACAACCTTGTACACAAGTTTAGCTGTTTATAGCCCCATAAAAATTAAGTATAGGATTCCATGGATATACTTAAGGTAAAAGTGGGCTACAACATATCTTCAAACCTTTAATCAACGACTTTTATACAAACATCTTTTTTTTTAATTTTATAGGAAAAGGTCTCGTTCACATATTACGTTACGGCAACAAATGACTTTTTAGACCCTTTCGCCCCGTTTTACAAAATTTGTTTTAAAACTTTTTTCCTTTGTTTACAAAATCCTTGACCCCTTCCCATCCCCCCAACTCCCCCTCACCCCAACCCTCCTCCTCCCTCAAAAGCTAACGTCTATTATTTGTCAAGGAGGAGCACAACCTTATAATTAAAAAAGATTTCTGGGACTTAGGGGTTGGATAAACGCTAAAAATCCCATTTTTTGTGCACGTCATAAATGAATGACCCTAAACAAGAATATTTCTTCCATCTTATTTTATTTTCCTTTATGTTCTCGTATACGGCTATCATTTCTGCTTGTTAAATTTACACCAGCAACTGTTGATTTTGTTCATAACACACATCAATACATCCAGAACATCTATGCAATATAAATTTTTTTTGCTACCTTAACTTGATGTTATTTGGCTCTTATATATTTATTTTTTTATATGTTGAAATAGCTTTTGGCAAGATGTGGGAGAAGAGAAATGAGAATGCACAAAAAAAAAGGAAATGAAACGTAGCCAATGGCATGGATAAAAGTGCTTATAATCGAAAAACATAAATTTTACTTATCTATCATTATGGCTTTGACATTGTGAGAATGAAAATGCGTGTATAGAATATATGTAGTATATTGTGGTCATAGAAATGACTATCGTCAGCGAATTGACGTTAGTGCTTTAATATTTATATCCTTTGAGCAATTTTTTGTTCGTTTCAGATTTCCATGATACTAATTTATTCGATTATATAGTAAAGTAAGTTAGGAACTGTATAAAAGTCATCTCTAATGTAATATTATATAGCGGGAACATCGAAACTATACGGTTGAAGTGAGCTTTTTGCTCTTTCTCTTCTTGCCCTCCATCCCATCAACCACGTGATTTGACTTCATAATGAATATTTCAGGGAATAATATTATCATACTGTGGGCACTTAAGTACAATTCTTGAACTAACGTTAAAAGAAGATTCAAAATTTTTATCAGTTGAGAAAATTCAAATTCATAAAACCCGTTAAAAATTCAAATAAAAAAAACGTTAAAACTACAGTCAAAATATTAATCCTCAAATGTCCACATCCTGATTATAATAGTAATAACAGTAAGACTTACCCTTGCAATCGCATCACGTACAACAGCATCAGTAAACTGACTCATAAAGAGTGAAGAGGAAGCTTCAGGCATAAGCGACATCTGTGAATTGTGGGCAATTAAAGAAAGTGGCATTAAGGAAAATGACTGTCGTAATTAAGAATAATTTGTCAATTTCTTGTCACATCTAATTCCACATAATGATACTTATGTAAATTGAAACAATCATTTTGCATATTTACCGTTGCCTTTGCACACGACAGTGGTGCTGGGACATCACCAGGAAGAGCATTTAACACAAATAGCATTAATAATGAATTGTGTATGATTCGATTCGGATGTGACATCAATAATGTCTTTAACGATCTCAGATACATTGGACTTCGCAGCACAATTGGACCATTCCAGTTCAGCGGTAATAGCTCCAACCAATTTAGCTGAAATTTCAGACATTCCTTTTTTATTTCGAGTGTTTTTACGGATTTATTTTTGGGAACATTCCATAATTTTTTTTTTTTAGAGATTTATTTTATTTTATTTTTTGTGGGTGGACATAAAAGTCGTGCAAAAAGAAAAATGTTAAGAAGGATAAGAGACGGAAAAAAGAAAAGAGACATGCAGCATTCATACGAGAAAGTAAGAGCTGTTAAAAATTATACAATTGTGAGATTTTTAACTAAAGAAATAAGTTTGTGAATTAATAATATAGCGAAAAAGACAAGACTTGACTACTAGCAGACACCTTAGTCAATCTCATTAATAGCATCTGGTAGGTTTCAAGTCTCGAGAAATAAATATTCTTCATGCAGATGGGTATAGCGCTTTTTGTGGTTTTGCGAGTGAGAGTTTATCAAGTTAAGGTTCCAGAATCACTATTTGGATAACCCGGGCAGCACAAGTCGTATAATTGAAACGAAACCACACGCCAGGACAAAGACACGTCGAATTCAGTCGGAAGAATTTTGCACGTTACGAGAAATTTGTCGTTCCCGCGTCATTTCTTAGCGTAAGATTTAGTCTCCATTATCCGACTTGTGCTATTCTGGTGATAATTCAACCTGTGCTACAAGGGAATGTTGTGGGCTTAATATCCACAACATATGATTCGAAAAAGGACTAGTTTAAAATTTCCGATGGCGAGTTTCGAACCCTTGACAGCTGTGTCGGTATTGCAACAATTCGGTGCCGAAGTGCGAAACCATTACGCCATCAAGGCACTTCAGCTCATTTTTATTAATTTACAAATTATAATCTTAAACTTCAAGAATGACTTAGCAAGGCATGGAAACTAATCAAATGAATTTTGATTCAAATAACCTTGCTTTATTCATGAGTTTTTGAATTAGTAAATGTATTAATTCAAGAATCTAGATGACCTAAACTAAGAGTTCTAAAATGAAATATAATTTAAGCTTCCGTATTCACGAAACATTACATTATTGGCTTTTCAAATCATCAATCGCATGAATAACAGGTGAATCAATTATTCTTTATCCTTTTAAAGTGAATAAAACATTAAACACATTCATATCACAAAAAGTGCGCTATACCATAAGCTAAAGGCTTCCTTCTATATCATAAATACTTACAAATGGATATGATTCCATTAGAGCTGATATATTATTCACAACAAAGCTGTTTGAGAAATCTCGATCAATATGATTTCGACGGATGTGATTTAATTCGCGAACAAAGTGGTGAATTGATTGACGTTCAGACTCGCGCTGCTCAATCGACAGACCGGATGGGAGAAAATTTTTGAGGACTTCATCGAGAAGTTTTGGAACATTTTCATTGACTTTTATTAATGGTGCTTTTGGTGTGTGGAAGCGAACATAATTCTACAATAAAAATATGGAAATGAAAGAAATTTTCTTTTGAAAAATAATTGGCATAAAATTATCATAAATTTAACATACTTGCAAGATATAATGAACATCGGGTGGAATGTCAATGATCAAAAGAACTTGAGGTCTTCTTCCATAACTTAAATCATAATAAATGTCAAGCAAAAGAAGTGGTGCACCAAACTGTTTCATTTTCAGCATCAATGGCATGACAGTTGATGGTCCTAAGGCATTTATCGGCATATATCCACCCAACTTTTCCATAGTAAGTCTTATTGAACTTGAGTTTAGCTCTTGACGTAGGCAGCTCTCATAAAGCCGACCCAATTTTCTAAATGCTCCACTTGTCGTGTTTTGCGATAGCAATTCTATAACGAAAATATAAATTGTGGAAAAAAGTTTTTGATGGGTTTAAATAAAAGTTGTGGGAATAGATGATGAATGAAATGGATAAGGTGCATGTTTATTATGAACACATTATATTTTAAAGGAAAAAGGTTTAAGCCAAACATTCCAGATAGTAAAATTCGAACTTCTTAAGCATTCTTCAGACAGGACTGGTTCGAAACCTTAGGATTTGTGAGATTTGACGTGCCTTACTTGTAATAATAGATTAAAGATCACGAAGTAATAGGATCGATTCTCATTGTGAACAAATTATTTTAATTATATGCGACCGAGTCAATGGAAGCCATCCGCTAGCTTCAACCTTATTAAAACTAAGGTTTTTAACTAGAAAATAGTCAAAATGTGATCAGAGTCCAACAAATTTTATCAAAACCTCCTCAATAATAACTTAACCGTCGCTTTACATCCACAAATAATTTATTGCAAATTCATGATTTTGAAATTCCTCTCATTTCGATTTTTTTTTCCATCACTGTCGGCCCAATAGCGAACAAAAAGAAGCTTATCATCATCAATGATCTGTGATGCTTATTGCCTAAATTTTAATGGTACGCCTTTTTTCCGCTAGCACGACTTTGAATACATAAAGTTTTCATCATCTCGCCTCCATAATAAATGCAAATAATGAAAATAAAATTGACAGCAGCTATTGGAAGCTCATAAAGAGCAAGTGTCAGCAAAAATTTGAATGAATCATCTCATAATGTAATTTTATTGAGAAATTAATAAAAACGCTGAGCTGGAAATAAGCGATAAAAAGTAAGGAGGAAGGATGGGGCGGAATGAGACGCTAAAAGAGTTTAAGTGTCGCGTATCAATGCGAACGGGTAATAAATTTATCGTTTTTATTTGCATGAAATTTGTGTTATGCTAAAAACCTAATAAAATCGGAAGCTTTTAAAACACGTCCTGAATTCTTATTCTTCTCTATTATTTCGCTTTTTTGGAATAGTCTCAAATTTTTAATGTCGGTATAAAAAAGGATCCGGAGCTTTTGTTTCGATTTTTTTGGGACAAATTTATTCATACCTTTTTGAAAGAGTTATATTGTTGACTGTAATACAATATTCTCATTAAAGAAGGGTTTAAATATGAATTGTCTCAAAAGTTTAACTATAAAGCACCACTTTAAGACAGTATCAGGTTTGGGTTAAGGTAGTGTGAAGTCGTGAAAATTGACCGAGTCTTTGTGATGATTGAAAAATCAGTCGTCAGTGTGAATCAAACCTTAACATGTCCATATAGTCATAAGATAGCGTTAAAGCAGTGATAGCCAACTCGTGTGCTGCAACACTGGTGTGCGGCCAAAAAAATCAAAAAATCCTACGAACCGTAAGCTGTTAGTGGTTTCGGTTTTGGTTTAACCTCAAGTTGAGCCGTTTCTCAAATAAAGTTGGCCACCACTGGATTTAGTACATCCTGTGTGTCTCTTAGAAACCGTTTGGTTTCAAAAATCTTAGAAAACCAGAAGATCACATGTTAACATCCCCTTAAACACCCCCTACATCCACTTCTCAACTTTTCATTCAAAAATCTTTCAAAACAACTTCAAAATACCTTTTTTATGATTTAAGCACCATGAAAAGCAATTTTTTTAAGAAACAAGAAACGCTTAACTTTGTTTAATATCTTTAATTATATTAACATCATCATCATCATCTCTTTTCAGGCAAAATATAATGAGCTTTGTCTTCACTCATAAAATATTCATAAAAAGGTTCATGTTTAATGGAAAGCTGAGAACGTAATAACAATAGACATCAAAAAAAATGTTATTGAGACATGAAGTCAAAAGAGTAAGATGCTGTTATGTAGATAAAATGTAAGAGAAAGAAGTTTGATGTTTTGAAGAAGGGATTCAATATGAGTTAAAAAGTTTTTGTTCTTAATGTGCAAATTAAAGATTTTTGTTTAAAAATAAATTTTTATAGGAATTTTAGGCTATTAATACGATAATTGGATGATATTACAATATAGACTAGTGTTTTGGTAATCAATTTAATATTACTTATTTTCATTTAAGTCATAATGGTTTGAAGTTTTTGCTTGATTTTATTATTTTCCCACCCGTTCTTTATTGATTTAATCAAACTATGGGAAACTATGAATAGTTTTTAAAAAGTAACCAATATGCACATCATAACTGACAATCAACCTCCATCATTACAGTATGTAAACATCATTTTAAAAATTAAATAAGCAATTCAAAAGTAATTTTATTTTTAAATTTATATTCCACGGGATGAAAAGCTTGTCATTTTTATATTGAAGCATTCAAACAAAATACTCGATAATTAAAAATACTTTAAATGAAAATTGTGAATAAAAGCACATAGAGATGGAGTCAAAGAGGGGAATCTAGCCCATAGGGGTCTAGCTAGGTCTAGATTTGAAATTCGGGATGAATTCATTAAAAATCTTTTTATTTAAATTAGATTTTAAATTAACCGTTAATTAATCCAAATCAATCAAATTTTTTTACAACTCGCCCAGCCCCCCACATTCCACCTGTAGTCATTCTACCCAAGAGCGTAGCCAAGAGGGGTTTTTGGAGTCAAAACAACCTCTTTTAACGAAAATTTCTTCAATTTACTAGTTTTTGGAAAAATGCAAAACCTGTGAAAAATCCGTCCTTACAAAAAGTTTTCAATACTAACCCCCCACCTTATATAGCTTGCTACGTCCATTAATTTCCACGGCATCAGTTGAAAATTATTATAATTAAATAAGGGGCCATTCACTTATTACGTAACGCTTTTAGGGGGAGGGGGGGTCTAAGATTTTGTTACGGTTCAAACAAGGAAATTTTTTTTTCATACAAATTTTGTTACGAGGGGGGGGGTCTAAGAAGTCTTTTTTTCGCGTTACGTAATAAGTGAACAGTCCCTAAGATAAAAAGGATTTTATCCGTTAAATCCATTCAGAACTTTCTTTTGAATTGACATTCCAAAAATACACAGAAAAAAATAATTTTTAATTAGCGAGCACATATTGGAGTGTAAATTTACTCAATTCTTTAATTTTAAACTTCCTCATCTTTTCAAAAAAAAAATGCAAATATTGAATCTGTAAATTAAAATTTTATACGAGCGTAAAATATCACACACTGAACTCTGATGAAAAAAATAATAAATTTAATTTTATCGATTTTTGCTGTAAGCCTTTGGTTCTTAATTGCGTTCTGAGATATTTATGTAAATGTGCCTGTATATACTACATCCTCTTTCTCTTTTTCATCTTTCTCGGAATGAGGCTCACCTTTGCCATCAAAATAAAATTCAAATGACGTCATTTTATTCAAGAGTAAAGCACTTCCTACAGAAATCCTACTTTTTACTCCCATCATTCTATTATCTGGTCAACAACCTCTCATAACACAATTTATCAACAAAAAAACTCTACAAATATTTTCTTTACTTCCATCAATTCCCTGGAAAAACCCCATTTCAAATTGAATGATGTCGAGACACTCAAGTATACGAATGAGAAGCAGTAGGAAGGATAAAATATAATAAATCAATTGTTATTCAATTCAAGCCTAAAACGTGGGTGAAAAGGAAGAAAAATCAGTAAGAATAAAACCATTGAAAAATGAGAAAAAATACAAAAAGGAAAGTCGAAGTTGATTAAAATGAGAAAAAATACTTAAATAGTCTCGAGCGTAAGATTATCGCCTATTCAAGAAAAGCTCGGCTCTTTTGAATGAATTTTATTTTTATTTGAAGGATGATGCTTATGAATGGAGGATGCTCTGAGTTGGTTGGTATGAGGATGGAAATAATTTGAAGATAAAATTGGAATGATAAAATTTTTAGTTTTGAAAGTTGAATTTAAGATATACTCAAATTATATTACTAAAGATGGCACGTATTGATACTTTATTGAACAATATTTCGAATATTAGGTTTGCTGAGCTTTTAAGTTTTTAACAATTCTTTTTACCAACTTTTTTTCTGACTGTTGAACTTTGATTAACGGGTCTTAGTTCTGGGGCTAATTTCTAGACCTACATGAGATACCAAACCTTAGAAACATCCTCTCATAGAGTGTATCACAAAGCTTGATGCTTTAGTAAACTCTAGAAACCTTCCTAGATCTCTAAAACTCTTAAAACTGACTTCGATCTATCTCAAATTTCAAATTCTCGTTTATACATTGCTCCAATTTTTTAACCCCTCCTTCATACTGCAATGTTATTACAAAAGGTATTATAAGATATTTTCTGTTTAAGACTCTAACGAACCGAATGCTGATGAATGCAGAAAAAGATTTACAATTCAATTTCACGTTGCGTTGCTAGGTGAAGTCTAAGTACATTAAGAAAATTGAAGGAGGTATATAGCATAATACACAATTGTGTAGGTGAAATGTAATAATAAAAAACAAAGGAATAAGAAGGGCGTAAATGAAATTAATGTACATGTTCGTGCGTCAAGTTTGAAGATATTTTATTTAAGAGCAAGGAGCCAACAAAGGCAAATGTAGGATTGGAAACTTAATTGTAGATAATAAAGAATCGAAGCTTGATTTTAATCAGATTAGGTCAATTTTTGGTTAGCTACTGTTTCAATTCAAGACAAATCCCTTCGGTCTTAGGCTTCAAATTGACGAAAAATATCAAACTAAGCATCAATCTACAACCACAATACCCCCATGAGTCGTAAAACAATCACTTCACATTATTTAGCATTTAAATTGTCAAATTTTGTGGTATGTGATTTCAGTCCATTTATATTGTAGATTCTAAGTCTGTTTTAGAGAATAATAAGAAGTCTTAAGAAGAAGAAAAGCTCCATATAGCATAAAAATGTCATCTTTTGTATTTCCTAACACTTAATCTACATCTTTAACAACATCATCTTCATCTTTATTATTTCTATTATACATAAGCCATTCTTGACTTTTTCCTCAACTTTTCATTTTCATACCCTCCAAACATAAAAGCAAACGAGAGAGATGAATAAAATGAAGAATGACTGAAGGGAATTGACCATATACAAAAGAATGAATTGAATGAATAAAATGGAAGAAAAAGGCAATGAGGAAGTTGAAGCATGAAAATCAAAATACAAATTGGATGTAATGAAGAGTAAAAATAAAATAAATGGAAGCAACTTACGGAGCATTTGATTATCGGCAATTTCCTGTGGACTTTTGATAGCCCTCAAGCTATTCTGTTGATTTGAGCAACTAAATGATTTAAAATCTTTACAGACATCAATTTTCCAATTGATTTTTGCTTGAATACTTGCGGCTGCATTCTTACAAATTACGTCGGTACATTCGGCAGGTGGTACATGATGAATTCCACACTCGTCGTGAGAACATCCGTCTCGACTATGAGGCATTGATGGTGCTGCTGATATAAGGAAGAGAATTGGTGAAGCGACTAGAAGAGATGTTACTATTAGTGTTACACCCGTTAGGGTCATTTTGTGAAATGTTGTGGATGTTTTTAGGAATTGTATGCAAGGACCGCAGAAGATCCAGTTAAGGAGATGTGTGCCGAGCTGAAATTTAAAAGATTAGGTAACATTAGTTTAGTTTAAAGAATAGCTACGATGCTATTTGAATGAGGATCCTTAAAAAAACAAGGAATTTAAGCATCAAGGGTAACTTTTGGGTATTATGAGCTGAGAATTAAACGAAAAATTGATAAAACTCTATGTAACAGATTTAAGAGATCGACCTGTAATGCGAAAGAGTCGAACCCACGTTTCCACAAAGGATGCTTGCAGATTTTCGGTGTGTTGTCTGCTTACGGGGGCCAGTGGTTATCAAACTAGGCTATTAAAGCCTTTCTCTCGTACTTGCAGATTTCTGTACATATGGCTTTGATGAACATCATTTCTGAACAGCCCAAAAAATCTTAAAAGCTTTCATAACATGGTGCATCCAGAATATAATATCCCTAACCTCAAAATCTGTCTTAGCCAAAAAAAAAAGAACAATCAAAATTTCAGAGAAAAAAAAATCCAACAGCAAATTTTCGCAAATTTCTTCATCCTCTAAACCAACATCAAGTGAATTTGATAAATTTTCTGACGGTATTATCAGAATTGTTATGAGAAAGTTAAACAATAAAATTTGAGGAAAAGCCACGGATAAGCAAAAGGTAAACAGAAATTCACACCGTAAATCACTCGAAAACTGTTGAAATGAAGATTAATTTTTTTCTCTCCTACTAGCAATCATAACAGCCAAAAAAAAGTGGAAGCTTAAAATATTTGAGAAAGTTTATCCGTAAAATGAGAAAAAGCTTTGGTGAAGACATGAAGAACAATAGTAAATACCAATAATATAAAGAGCACAAAAAAAATCCCTTTTGCGACTGCAATGAAAAAGCGCCGGGGTAATAAAATCGTAGCTTTTATTCCCTCAGCAGTAATCCAAAGTACAATAAAAAGCGTTATGGTATTTGTGTGTAAAATCATTTCTCTCTTATTGTTCCATATATTTCAACGTTATGTGCTGGACGTTGAACAAATATTTACACAAAAATACACAGCACAAAAATGGGATCAAAAGCTTAAGCTTCCTCTTTTCTTTTCTCACTGTTGCTGCTACTGCTGCTTCATTTCATTTTATGTCTGTTCATTTTTAGCTGCTTTTTTGTGAGGTTAATTGACTGATTTTTGAGAAATTTTGTCTAGACATTTGTTTTGGTTCTGACGAGATCTTTCATTACAGTGTTCAAGAGCGTAGCTGAACCCCTTGGGACCCTTCTTTTGGTTAGTGGCGTGGCAAGTTGTTGGGCAACTAGAGTTTTATTCTGGATTGTCATTAAAAATGACAAAAATATTTAAGGAGGCGCAAAATTCAATAATGATTGGATGATCCTTGCTATTCATCAATCTGACCATTCTTGAAGAAATAGCCCAACCCAAATAATGCGCTATAATCACCAAACCCTCCCAAATTCCAATTCATTCCAATCCGTTCGTTTTCTATCTTCATTCATTCACATTCTATCGAAATAAAATCCCATTTATTGTCTCAAAACAATAGCTTGCAGGTTCACAGAACAATTTACAGTCATTTTCAGTGCAGAAATAACATACAATACTGTCTAGGGAGAGCGAGCATTTAACGAGAAGGATTTTTAATTAAATAAAATTCAATTACTAGGAACGGTACAATGTTTCATGTATATACGTATATACATAAATAAATAGGTGTGTGAGTACGTATGTTATATTGCAATATTGTGTGTTGCAAGCACGTATTGTTGCTTTACTAAAATAGATTAAGTAAACATGCATGTTCTACATTGATGATTGCTCTTTCCATTCTCGTCCTATTCTCACACAATCCAAACCAGATTGAAACGTTTTCTTTTGCCTTTTTTTTTCGTTCATTTACTCGCTCCATCTTCATCATCATGTTGTGATGCTGAAAGCTTTCATCAAAACTCTCTTTTCATGTCATTGCCAGACTTATCGTTGTTTTACTATTTTTTTTAATCATGTGAATTTATTCGATAATTAATACCGAGAAGTTTATTCATCATTCAATTTTACAGTTTGTTTTATAAAGTTCTGAATGAATATGTGGTTGAAAAAAATTTTCATATCCTGCTGTCAATCTCTGTGATACTCGTTAAAACTTTTGGGATTCTTTTTTTTGTGTGACTATGGATAGCATGTAGGGAATTTCTGGAACTTTTATGGATGGAAGAAAGTCTTCATAGAAACATACTCTTCTCAGTAAAACTAATTTTTGTAATGGAATCCGATATGATAGTTGGAACTTTTTTGATGTAGTTTATATGTAGTCGTCATGTAAACGGCTGTAACAAATGATAGCTTTTTCTCGTGATTTCATCATATTTTAACAGCGTTGTTAGCTTGATTTTCAATGGGATACAAAAAATTGAAAGACAGCTACATGAAACTTTTTTATGGATTCTAGATTCTGGAACAAAACACGTCTAGTGGCATGTCTGGAGCTCATTTAGCTCACAAAAAATATATTTTTAAGTGTGCTAAATTTCAAGTTTGAAGCGAGCAACAAGGAACTTCTTTTCATTCATAAATGATGTACACTTTTTGGGAATAAGGAAGTCTCACTGAAAAATAATTTATAAAACAAAAATTGTGTGTCAAAAGAGGAAAGTGGAGGTTTCTACAGTATCATTTGTCAAAGAACGTTATTTATGAACAACCCCCTTATGACGTTTATGTTAAGATAATAGAACATAATTTGAAGTCATTATTTATTACAGCTATCAAACATTTAACAATTGTTCACGTTTAAAAGAATTTACAGCAATTCTGGGTTGATCCAAGAATATAAACTGCTCTGTATGCTTTGCCAATGAAAAGCTCCTCATAGCTGCTGAGATTGAAAGGAGTGTTAATTAATCGATGAATAAACATCAATTTTATTGATGAGGGGTGTAGACTACAACAAAGGATGGATTATGTTAATCAACTTCTCATTAACAAGCATACTAAATTCAATATTTGCATATGCCATAAAACACAGAAGGGTCGTGCATAAATAATGTCCATTTTTATGTACATTGTGCGACAAAGTGGTTCGATTTTTGATAAACGTAATCACTTGCGTTCAATTTAAAGGGGGGAAGGATGCCCAGCTACCTAAAGACTCCCTTCTGACTACGCCCTTGGATGTCATTTATGAAAGCCCCCGAGAGCAATATATGTTCAAAAATTGTGTACACAAAGCTTTGGTAATTTCTTGATTATCTGATTCAATTTGCTTTTAAATTTTAATTAGAGTTCATTTATAAATTTTTTGATTCCTTGTACTTTATGAATCATTAAAATAAAATACTAAATGACCTTTAGGTTAAATATATCCAACTATAATTAGCAAAGTAGAGAAAGAACAAAGTTCTTTTGATCTTTCCACGTGCAATCTTCGATTATTTCATTTATGTTTATTATAAGTAAGACGCCTCTACTTAATTCTCCTTTTGTTGACCATCTGCGTTTTATTTTTATAATCCAAGACAAGCCAAAAACGCACCCAGTTCACGTGATAATTCTTACTTCCTTTCATTTCCCATCGCCTTAGCAATTCATTGATTTTATTTTCTATTTAAGTGAATTACTGTAACCAAATACGAATTTCATGTGAGACATGACGAGACAACATAAAAGTCTTAATCAGATTACAATAATGCTTTTAGCCTATGCACCTCGTGCTCTTATCCCACTCCAATATTTACTCATTCATTCACTCATCTATTCATTCAATCTTCCATATGTGTTTGATGCTCGATGAGTTAATCAATTTTCCCTTGAATGTGTTGACTTGCGCATTTAATTAATAGAAATGATATAAAAAGAAATTAGTAGGAAGATTGATGGGTGTGTGAAGCTAATGAAGTGCATTTTTTTCTGTCTTTTAAAAAATAAGTTTAAGCTGTTCTGGCATTAAGGTTTATCTAAAGTTGCTTATTATATGAATTGTAAGGATTATATTAGATTGGCAAGGGAAGGGTTAGTAGGGAGTCACTTGACCTTGCGCTTAAACCAAGACCTATCTGAACCTAATGCTTTGACGAGCCTTTAATGAATATACCCTTTAGATGATAAGACCTTAAGATCCATAGCTTCACGTTGAATGCGTCACAAGTCTAATGATAGGTTAATAAAAGTGTGTTTGCCAGACTTCCCGCTCAAACCTAGACCTACAGTTTATAGCGGGATCCGAACCACTCGTTTAATGACATTTCTGTGAGCCTCATTTCCAGTACCTATGATTCGATACTCTTTTGATGACATTTCTGCCTCTAGCCTACAAAGGAAGGCTGTGAGCCTCATTTACAGTACATATGATTCGAGAAAGGACGAGTCTTTTGAATCCCAAGTCTTGAACCCATGATCACTGTGTCGGTATTGTAATAATTAGGTACCAAAGCACTAAACCATTCCATCACTGAGCAACTTCAGCTCGTCTTCGACTTTCAACTGTTTCAAGTCCTCAAAGTAAGTCAGACGTGAAAAACACTCCTGTTACAGCCTTTTATATTGAACATTTTCAGTTTTCAGCCATCTAGACACTCTAATATCATATCTCCATGTGTTCAACAAAAATTGTCAATCCAAAAGTAAGTGTAGGCATAAAAAAGAATATTGCCTCATCAACAAATGAACTATGAAAATAAAAATCATTTCTTCCTCGCTTCTTAAGTAATTTGATTTTCTTTTCATGCCTTTTCCTTCCTCTTTTTATTTCGTGATTTAAGTAAATACATAAGACAAATGTGTGCGACAAGAGGAAGGAAAATATGTTTCCTAATTAATTAATGCACGAGCGATTGAAGAGTCTTGAATGAATGGGAAAATATTTTGTGTGACACAGTCAGTATGGATATTGTGAGTACATGCCTGAGATTTATTAGAATATATTAATCAGAATCAATCAAGGCTGAATTTAGTTGTAATCGATGAACTTTCATTTTGATGTTGGGGATTAGAATTAATTGATTGAGGAACATTCTGAGAAATGAAGTAAGTCAAGTGATGTCAATGAATTAATTAGAGCGTAATGTTGGCAACAGATTAGATATAATGTAAGGATTTCTAAGAAATACATTGATCATGTTGTGCGTGGCGATAGAATTGCTATCTGAACTGCTTATTGAACGATTACTCATAAATTATGAGATTTTATCCTTGTTCACATTTACAAAGTTTCATCTTAACCTTTTGGCACATATAATGCTTATTAATTGCCTGGTCGCATCTTATAGGAAACTAATCAATTATAAATCAAAATTTTGAGAGGATTTGTAGCTTGAGTAATCAACGAAAATCTTAATTCAGCCTCAATTCATTTAATATCCCAAATATTTTCAAGTCTCCATCTACTCACTCGGATATTTCGATTAAAACCCACAATTGTTTACCCTGAAATTCCACTAATCTAAATTGATACACACACATTACAAATTTCCCAACACCGCCTAAAATTTTAATTAGAATAACAAATTTCAACAATAGTTCAAGCCATAAGTCAACCTTTCATCACATACAGCATACATAATATGTAATTAAAAACAACCCAGAAATTAATCAAATTGAATTTTCAAACTCGCAAATGTTGTGTCTGTTCCTGAAAACTTTGTAGTATAAATTACAGAATATTTTATTTGCTGTATTATTAATCGTGGTTGTTTTTTGTATGATTACATCTAGAAACAATAGAGTTTCAATTACTTTGGTTACTTTTATGGTTAAAAGTCTTGACAGTTTATGAAATATTTTATTTAAATTGAGTTAATATCATGCTGCCATGTAAATTACTTTTAAAACTTATGGTTGAATAATTAGAGGTTAAAGATTTAATTATCAAGGAATGAGTGTGATGTTTAGAAGGAAATTTGTAGGATTCTTGCTTAATATTTTCATATTTCACTAAGGTTGGAATTAATTATTGAAATTTTATGAAAATTCTAATTGATTTAATTTTTTCAGAAATGCCAATTTAAAAAATAAATTGAGATTCAAATTCAAAAAACCATTCAAATTCTGATTTAATAAAATTAAATTTAAGAAAATTAAATTTTTAAATCTGTAAAAATCAAATTTCAAAAAATTATTTGAAATTCAAATTTTAAAAATTCGTTCAAATTTAAACTTTAATAATCTCAAAATTAATTTAATCAGAAATTTTATTTGCTTTTCTGAATTGAAATGTGAAAACTTAAAGCTTCCAAAGGTCAAAATGTCATTTTCCATGACACAAAATCTAAAAATACAAAATATCAAATCAATAATTAATGAGTATCCACCCATTCTCAACCCATCACGACCTTCTTTAACACAGCAATATTCCTCCTTCAAATCTATTTATTTTACCCAATAAATTCCAAAAACAATTCAATTTCTTCTATTTCCACCCATCAAACATTCAGCTTCCTCGATTATTTAATTTCAAAAACCTCATTTTCTATCTGAATCCTCCAAGAAGGCCTTTTCCCTCAGCATTTTCGCCCCATCGAGCTACTGATCATCAATTTTTCAAACATTAATGGCTCCTCTTAAGTGAAATATTATCATTTAACAGCATTTTTTCTCTCTCAGAATCTTTAAGTGCAGATATGCTGCTATATAGCTTTGGGTGGTTGGCAAATAAAATTAATCTGACTTTCAAGACTCATAAAGTTTTTATGATTGCAATGAGATTTTTTTTTCTTGATTTGCATGTGTCTTTATTATTGTCGAAGAATCTCTTTGAGGATTGAATAAATTAATAAATGTTGAGATATAATGAGCGATAATCGTTTTGATAAGTTGTAAAAATTGTCTAATTTATGTTGAATGATTTGAATGGAATATGTGGAATGGAGGCTGGCGCTATGCATATAGTGGTGTCTTATCAGAGTGGAATTTGGGGTGTCGAGCCATATATAGGCGATTCTGCCAGTAGTGCGAGAGTTTGGTTTCTATGACTGAGTTGTTTATGCAACAGACCGGATATCTTAAACCCTCTTTTATGAGAACGTGGTTTCAATTCTCACTATATACCGATTTCTCAATCATTATATAGAGACTTATCATAAATAAAAAGAGTCAAGTATATTAATTTGTACTGGATAGAATAGTTTGATTCAAAAATAAAGGTACCTTAAACAACGGTTAAAGCAGGTTTCAAATGAAATGATTTCAGGACTTAAAATTCATAAAAGCTACTCAAATTCTCAAAAAAAAAACTTATAAAATCCACCTAGTTGCTTTAAAATATACATAGTTTTAATTATAGCGCTCAAAACATCGCAAAAAAACCTTTAATTACTACTCGAAACTACAAAATTATCGCAATTAAAACAGAAATTACCTCAGCATTTATACTGAAAATCAAGATATTTATAAAAACAGTATCCATGCTGTGGAGTGTGGGCTCAATAATTAATGTGATTATACTTTTGATACAACAATTAATTACACGCACTCACAGATTGTATCGATTTTCCATTATAAACAATTAAAAATTGAAAACTGAGTGAAATAATTTTTTTTGTGTACATTTTTCTTATGCCATATGCTAGATGATGCCGATTTTATGGGCCATGTGTTGTTTTGTGAGAATGGAAATAAGATTTCCTTTTATTGTTGGTGAAATATTTTGGAGAGGATTTCGAGAGAGAATGGAAAGAGAATTTAAAATTGGAAGTATCTGCACGCTCAATGGAAATCTTATGAAATTTTGTTATTATATTTCTAGAGGGACTCATTTAGATTCATAAATATTTTAAAAAAAGGGATTTAAACATTTTTCCGAGCATTTTCAAGACAGTTCATCTTCTTTAAGACCAATCCGTCTATACATAAATGTTAAACAGCGCCAACAGTCATATTTACTCCTCAAAAAATTAACTTTTTATTGCAAAGCAATAGATTCCTTGTTTAATTTAAATAGCTTTGCCTTGAACTTTTAAATCATTTCCTTACTATGATATTATTAAAAGCTTGTTGATGCATAATTTGCTGAATATGCACGTCAATCGAGGAAGTAATAAGACAGCAAAGCAATGGCTTCTCAGAGCATGCAATTTAATAATTCTAAGGGACCGTTCACTTATGACGTCTGAGAGTGAGGGGGGGGGGGTCAGCAAGAAAAGAACAATAGAAATTCCTTGGATTTAAAAAATGACCGTTAATTTCGGACATCATAAGTGAACGACCCTAAGAGATCATTTTGTAAATTTCAATCTTAGGTGCGCAGCCAGAGGTTTCAAACTGTTTCGACTTGGTTATCCAAAAAATGGATGGAAGATAAAGGAAGAGGGAGGGCATACCCCTTCCTAGAATAAGCGCTGTTACTCAACCGTTCTAAACCCTAGTTACACATTTGAACTAAGCTAACCCCTTAATATAGTCATAAAATCTTTATCTCAAACAAAAAATATACTAATTAAGTCATTTAAGACAAAAATTTAAAATTCATATAGCAAATCACTCTCATAAAAATTAATCCCATTAGCTCACCAGAAGAATCATTAATCACACACAAATCCTCATTTATTCAATCTTTTATCACTAACTGATCCCTCTGTAATCAGTCAAAAGCTCTGCACGAGCACATCCGCTCTCTTTCTCTCTTTCTCTCTCTCACACACATATGGAACCATGGAACATGCAAAAAAAAGATTTTTTTTTTGTTTCCTTCCAAAAAAACACACAACAGAGAAAAATGTGAAAAACACAATGAAGAACAGCAGAGATGATGAGGGAGGAAATTTCATCGTCTATGTGCCAATATACAAATTTTTTTACACTTTACGCTTCTGTATAATCTAGCAGCTAGAGGAATCACGTACAATGGGAGACGTAGTATGAGAAAAAAATGGGTCATCAAGATGAAAATTTCTTTTTTTTCTCTCTCTCCCATTATCCTCGTTCGAGGATGGCAAATCACAAGGAGAAAAAAAAATAAAAGTTTGTACGAGAATGAAGAAGAAAAAAATCTATAAAAATGGATTCGCTTTCACTCAACGAAGAACTTATTGTTAATGTCTTCTTTCTCGAAACACATGCTATTAGCTTAAACGATGATATTAGCCCAGGGATGTAATGTAATTTTTATATAATCCTCATTTCCGACAATAGAAATATGTGTGTATATACTGACCTTGTTCAGTGTCGATGGACTTGTATTGTTTTGCTGTTCACAAAGCTGTAAATTTTCAATTTTATCTGTTTCGAGATGAAATCCTCGCTTTTGGGCATTTTGATTGCCACTAATTGCCACTTTATTTGTATTTAAATTACCACCACTAATGCTACTTATTGTAGTGCTCGTTTCCGCTGTCATTTAATATCACGTTTATATTATTAAATTTAATTTTAATTTTTTATATTATTCAATACTTTTTTTATGGAAGGATGGAATCTGATTAGGTACTAAAATGTATGTAGGCTCAAATAATCATAAGCTAGCCAATGTCAATGTCAAACACAATAAAAATTGAAAATATCGAAAAAGATTGAATTTTCCACTTGAATATTTTTTCCTTTCGTTCCTTTTTTTGCCCTATTTTCTCGATTTTCTTCTTTTGAATAAATATCAACAACAACAAAAATATTTACAAGAAAAGAAAAATGAGAACAGCACCGATGAACTTGAATGGAAAACTGAAAAATTTATTTTTTTCTTGAAGGAGAAAATGTAAAAAACATAATAATATTGAATGGTGAATTTTCTCATACCTAGAAATTTTTCATTTCAGAGAATCTCGCACTTTTGTACTGAGGCAAAAATCTCACTGGATGTCGATGAGGCTCATAAATTCATATTATTGGAAATGTTCATTTTGTTTTGTTTGTAAATCGTGGAAATAGCATGTGGTTTTTCGGAGCTTTAAAACTTATGCGCAAAATCACCATAGTGACTGGTGAGCTTTTAGTCGAGACACAAATAATTTTTGTTTGCATGGTCTGTGTTTGCTTCGCATAAAAGTCAATAAAATCAGCTGATAGTCAATGTCAAGGTAATATGGGATTTAAGAAAAACATGGTTTGTGTATTTTTAGAAATTTTTTAAGGCTTTTTATTGAATCATTTGAATTTTTTTCTTCTTTTAATTGTTAATTTTTAAATTAGATAATTTTTTTGATTTTTTTCTTCAATTTGAATATTTTCAAATAGAATTTGATGCTTGAATTTTTTTAATTTTGATTTTTTAAATGAACTTTGAGATTTTTTGCTTACATTTATAAATAATTCAAACAAAAATCCAAAATTTATTTTAAAAATTCAGCAATCAATTCTATAAGAAATTTCGTATTTTAATTAATTAATCACCATCCTTCCCTCCAAAATCTCTATCCATAATAATTAATAATAAAGTGAATAATTTCTATAATATTGAATTTTTTTGTTCAAAAAACCGTTTTTTGGTAAATTTTACAAATCCATACAATCAGACTTGCAGCTTTACGTTGCGAGTATCAGCTTTAAAATAATTCTTCCTCACTCCTTAATAATCTTTCGTGAATATCTCAAAAACTTTTTTCTCATATTTTGCACTTTTTATGCTTCTAAATCTGCCATACATAAGTCGCGCTGAAATGTAAATTGTCCAATTTTGATAAGAAAATTTTGATTTTTTTTAAATTGCCAATTTTTATCTAAATTTTGATTGTAAATATTTCTAATTTCTATTTCAGTGCACTTGTTGATTCTCTTTTTGTCATTTACTACCATTTTAAATTGTTTAAGTGTCAATAAGATATGAAAATATAATTTATTTGAGTCAAGTAACTTGCTATGCTATAAAGTATTAAAGATTTTTTCAATTTTAATCCATATGCAAACATTTTGATGCAAAATTGTTGAGTTTTAGACAAATTACTTATTCATAGGATTTAACTTGATTGAGAAGTTAGAAAGCTAGGTTTATAAATTGGATTATAATAGCCGATAATTTGTATGATTGTAATGGTATGTTACATCGAATGATATCCATAGAAGATGTAAATTATTTAATGAAACAAAACATGAAAAGCTGGTAGCTGTAAATTGGGCTGCATCCTTTATTTTGGGTGTTCAAAAGAGCATTGCTTGACATTTCAAAAATTAATGTCCTATTAATGAATTATACACAAAAAACTAAAGTCGAAAAGCTATCCACATGATGATGAAGCGGACAGGACAATAAAAGATGCAACATACTCCAAGCAGCAGCTTGGTTCTAAGCAAACTGTCTAATTTGCTACACGTTTTTTATACACATGGAACGCATTTTAGATTAATTTATTGCACAGCAATTTTTAAATCTTATAAAATCACCAAGAATTACAAACGTTCCTTCATTTGACTGGTTACACTTGGTAAATTTATTAAAAAGAATACTTTTTGCTCCAGCAGTTGTTTTTAAGCTTCGAATTTTTTTTCGATATATTTCAAAAATCATTCAAGCCAATTAAGGGTCTTCAGAACTTATAAATTCTTGTTTTCAATTAAAATGAAAAATAAGTAATATTAGTTGTAATGTCTAAAACAGTCTTTGGAAAGTGAGAAAACTTCATATCAACATTTAAATATAGCATTAAGATAGACAATGGTCGGTAAAAATTGCAAAAAAATGTTTACTGACTCAATTATTAAAATGTAGATTTCCAAAAAGCATGGCAGTTCAAAAACCAAAATTAACCTCGAAATAGAATTAATTTAACAATTGATGCTGTCATGAATTTATTGCTTACAGTTTTTTTATCGCAAATTTTGCTCAGACTAGCCAAAATGATAAGTTTTATTATCAGTTTGGTTCCTGAAGCTTTTAATTGAATATTTGACAAAAATATGTCTTGACTTAATCAATTAATGGACCACAAAACTTAGTAGACCCTTAAAAATTCATGACTGAATCAAATGTTGATCTTAAGCATAAAAAAGCTGCTTGATTTATGTTTTTAATACTGAATTATTCATGATGAAATAAAATATTTAACACCAAATTTTATCTCAACTTCTAATAAAATTTAATCAAAAATTTTCGATCCATCATTTTCAATATTATAAACAAAATGCAAAAATGTAACAAAAAAAGTTCTATTTAATTTTTGTGCGTGTAAATTTCTAAATTTCAAAAATTTATTTTTTATATTTTTTAAAATTTGTATAAGCGAATTTATATAAAAATACATTTTCATTGACATGTTTTATTTTTTTTGTATTATTGCGATTCTCAAAAATATTTACTAAGTTTATTCATTATGTGCTATCCATCCAAAAATACGTTTTGTTAGAAAAAAAAAATGTGACAAAAAAATTTTGGTTCAAATGTTGATAATTGAAAAATTATAATTTCTGTTCTTAAAAGCTAATAAAATTTCATATAAAGCTTTAATAATTTAGATAACATTAATTAAGCCATATTCGCTCGTGACATAAGCACTTTACCGATTTTTTAAATGTTTTACTAGTTTTTAATTAAATAATTTTCTTGTATCTAGGTTGTAATTATTTCATTTATTTCTGTGGAGAGAGAAAGATAAAGGCAAATATGGAAAAATACGAAATGCAAATAGGAGAGAGCAAGGAATTGTCGAAGATATTTAATTTTTGTAATTTGACATTGAAAATTTAAATTGTTAGGTTGAACTTAGTCTTTTAGGGATATTATAATAGATAAACCCCATAAAAGCCTCCAACTCCAGTAAGTAGTTTAACACTGACCCAGTTCTTATCAATAATCTTTTATCGTAAACTCATTCATTTATTTAACATATGTATATCCTACATATCTGATACCACAAAACAAAAAAATCCACAAATTCGTTTAATAAAAATAAATGGAAATTTCCCCCGTGTGACTAGCATTTTTCACGCCATACAAATAATAAGGAAACATTACATTTCATAAAAGAAAGAAAAAAATGCGACCAAGGAGTAGATAAAAAAAAAATTCCACCGCATAAACCGAAAAAATTGCTTTTTTTCCTTCCTGTCTAGAGAAATTCAAATTGAATTATCACTCAACTATACAGTCGACATTCTGTTGCTATTTTATTTCCATTTTACATTTTCTCTGCTTTTTATTCTTTACTACAATTCTTCCTTGTTTTGCGGTTATGAGATTATGGCACGATACTAGATAGAGAAAAAATAAATAAAAACAAGAAAATAGTAAAAAGAAAATAGAAATTCACTTTCTACGTCCTTCGATTTTGTTGTCGATATTGTGTGTGTGTGTGGGAGGGGAACAAACTATGATTTATTTACGTTATTTCGTCATGTGTTGATTTCTATGTGAAATTTCGATGGTTTGTTTTTTCAAATTTTCCTGGTGTTGTTTTTAAAAAGCTTTCAACTAAGCTACAATAAATATTTTTCTTTAAAAAAATGCGAAAGCTTTGATTTCGTGTCATCTAATGACACCTCACAACTCAAATTGTAGATTCCATATCAACATAAAATTATGTTTTCACAACAAAATGACTAGCAGAGGATAAATTAGCGGATGAGCAGTGTGTTATTTTGATAAACCTGTAGAATTTTGATAATTTGATTTTATGAAAAATATGGATCCAACTAGCAAATATCTAGATCTGACTTAAAACAATACAAAGAATCTGTTCGAGCATGATTTTGATACTTAATAAATTTATTCCTGAATATTAAGCAGAGAAAAGTAAACTTCTCAAAAACTTGTTCCGAACGGGAATCGAACCCAAGATGTTAGGGTGTCTGGTCACATGCTCTTACCACTGAGCTATCAGGAGTTGCTGCTATGCTTAGCACAATAGCAACTTAAACTATTTTCTGCTCTGAACAGTATTATTGGTGCGTTGAATACAAAGCTAGTATATTTTAACCCTAGTAACCAAAATCGTCCATATGTATTATATTAGCCTTCCTTAGGAACATCAATGTAATACATATGAACGATTTTGGTTACTAGTGAAATTTTTATAAATTCAGGTAGTTTTCAATTTCGAAATTCAATGCTTTTAAAATTCAAAATTATATGTTATTAAAATGTAAAGCACAGGATGAGGATTTATCCAATAGCACATCTCAAAAAAAAAACAACACTGCTTGTATTTCAGTAAGACCTAAAGAATCAGAAGAATTTCATTTCAAAGAACCATTTGCCGTATTCTTAAATAGATTGGATAAAAAAATTGTCTCAAATTTTTAGATTTTTAGTAAAGTCAAAACACATAATTTCTTAGTTTATGATTTTAAAAGCTTCTCTTTTTTAAAAAATTCATTAATTTTTTTTTTTGGTTTCTATAACTTTTCTTAAACGTTTCTTGCTATGTTTCTTGTATCACATTCAAAAAACTTCTTTATGGCCCTTATTTGACAAAGGCGATTAATATACAAAATCATAAAGAAAACATTCTAAGCACGATATACTAATAAACAACTGAAATTGATTGATAAAAACAATATTTTTTTATCATTATTTTTGCATTCCTAAAATTGCGCATAATTTGTGATTCAATTGTAAAGCCAACTGGATCTATCACGATCCTTCAACTTGCTTGTGCTATATGATATCTTTTTCTTAGTTGGTGATATCTTACCAGGCTTTTCGACCTTCTTGTTGTGAACCTTTGTCTGCTTGCTGTCACCTTTTGATCCATCATTTCGCCAGAATTCACGAACATGCGATCCTGGTGCCATACATGGCAAAGCTTTTAAGAATCCATGTGGACCGACTGGAATTGGTGGTGCTGCTGGTATGCCTGGACTATAATTATTATACAAAAATGGCATTGTCTGCGTAATATTTGTGTGTAGCGTTAAAACCGATTCAATATCTAGTTCCTGAGCATGCGATAAAAATTCATCAAATAACTTTGTAGGAATCATTCCAATACGATCAAAAGAGTCAGCAAATGCTTCCGTATCCTTATTATACAAATGTAAATAATCACCAAGAAGTTTTGCAGCCATTGCTCCTTTTTCCTTTGTTAAAATCCGATTGCTAGTCACATTACGAATAAAGAATGGCTGTCGCATATAAATTGCGATTCTATGAAGGAACTTCATAACATATTCTTCATGGCTATGCTTTCCATCGACAGATAAGCGCTTAAGTACATGTTCTAGATATAACGAGAATGCTCTTCTAGCCTGAAGTGTCGAAAACTCATCGCCACTTTCAATAAGCTTCCTTATTTGCATTTTAACACGTTTCGTTTCATCCTGATGCTTAGAACTTGAACTTTTCGGTCCAATAATAATCGGCAATGAACGATCCAATGTCCTTTCATAACGTTGAATACGATCTAATATTGAATCACCTAAATTATCACTTCCAGTTCCAAATAATTGTGTGAATAACATTTGATTATAATTGTGAGGTATGATCATAAGGTATGAGCTAGTACCACATGTTGTAGAAGCAGCAGTTGGAATTCCAGTCACGGGATCCATAAACATTCCATACTTTTGCATGCTATCAACAGCTGGAAAAATTCTCACGAATCCACCACGTCTTTCCATTTGTCCTTTTGCTGCTTTTACAATTTTTATTTCTTCGGCAGTTAAGGATGATAATACTGGTTTCTTTCCTTGTTGTAAATTATGAACAAAATCAGCTGAATTGACACGACGACTACTCGATAATGAGCGAATTTTAACTCCTTTATTGTCCATTGACGCTTTCATCAGTGGACTGATTGCCGGAATTCCAACTAATGTCAACAAATCTGAGAGAAGACTAGCTTTAACTTTTGTGTCGAGTGGTGAATCACATCCGAGACTTGGACTTAAATTTACTTCTATCAACCATGGCTTTAAAGTATCATCAATGAGTATATCGAAACCAAATAATTCAAAACAATTATTAACGTGATTAACAAACATGCGGCAGGCACTAACAATTGGCTGTGTACAGGCAAAAATTGCTTTAATTATAATATCCTCTATGTTAAGCATAAGCTGTTCTGTATTACATCCTTGATTCCTCAAATGTCTTAATAATGCACTAAATGTCCATTTATGTCCAACATCCTCATCACTCACATTACTCGATTTAATATAATCGGTGTGATATTTATTGATTGAATAATTGCATAAATGCATGCATGGATTCCATAAATTATCAGCATTATTATCATAACGAACTGTTGCAATTCGTACAAGACCTTCCTCATACACATAAATGATTAATGGATCAAAGCTTGTGACGGCAACATAAATTCTTATATCGCATTTATGTCCATCGATGCACAATGGATCAGCTATGTAACGTGCAACAACGACTTGCTCCTCGCTCGAAATATGCGACTGAATTTCATCAGGTGTTTTCGCTAAAAATATACCACGTCCTCTACTCGATGCGACGGGCTTCACAATCCAAGGTCCTTTATTTTTATTGTGTGCAAATACCAGCTCTTTGTAATCAGCTGGCAGAAGAAATGTTTGTGGAACAATGTCAAAATGTTTAAAACCACGAAAATGTTGCATGCGTTCAATATTTTTATATAATCTATCCTTGCGTGTTAGTTCGCTAGATCTGAAAGGATAAGAAATAAATGGAATGTAAGAGGAATTTAACATAAATGAAATAAGCACAAATACAAGAGGGTCAAGAGTTCTGTGGATGGTTTTTAAGGCAGCAAATTCAACCCCAACAACATCCTTAAAAACCAAACAACTGCAAATACTCATTGGCATCCCTATATATGCATATCCTTCAATCTATCTTAAGTCTAATGCCACAAAACTCACCGTGGAAAATGATTGATTCTCTGATATGACGATAAGCTACGTAACATGTCGGGTTTCAATTGATTGCCGGTCCATAACAAATTAAAATCATTAGCATCATGATGAGCCTCAGTAAGGCCATGTCCAAGAAGGATTTTCCTAAGGAGTCTAGTCTCAGTATTTAGGAACTTGAATGAAATATTTAACAATGCAGCTGGCATTTCATCTTTATCAAGCGGTTGAAGCACAATATTTTCTTTATTTTCATCAATATCTTTTGTTTCAACATTGACGCTGCTTTCAGCAACAGAGCCACTGCTTAATGATGATGAAGACGATGTCGACGACGATGACTCGAGTGATCTTTTCTTCGTCTTTTTCTCGTTAAAGTTAAAAGTCTCATTGTCAATACGTCGTTCCCCATTGAGATTTTGTGGCAGTGACATGGCAGTCACGTATGATTTTTCAGCCCCAAGTTTCGATAATTCTGTACATGTTGAAGACGCTGACGGTGTCTCTGAATACAAATCCGGATGATCAAATGTACTTGTTGTTGTGTTTGCAGCTGCTGCCAGTACACTTGTACGAAATATAAGAAGCTATAAAGGAACGAAGGAGAATTTGAGTTAGAAGAAGAAAGTGATAAGGATATGAATAATAATCTTACAGAATCTTTTGAGCCTAAAGGTCCATTCGTAACCCAATGATTAGGTTGTGGTGGTTGAGGCTTTTCAGACTTTTTCCTACTGTAAATAAAATTTAAAATATTTTAATTAAATTAGCAATGCTATGTAAAGTTAATTGAAGATTTTATTGAGTGTTCTGGATCTAATGTCAGTCATTAAAGTATATTCTAGTTAAGTTTGGTCTAGACTAATTTAGTCTAGTTTAATTTATTCTTTTCTATTTAAGTCTAATCTAGTCCAGGTAAATCTAGTCTAGTAACTTTATTTAAGCCTAATCTAGTCTAATTAAGAGTAGTCTAGTCCAGTTAAGCCTAATCTTTCCTATTTAAGCCTAATCTAGTGTAGTTTAGTATAATCTAGTATATCTAAGTCTAATCTAGTCTAGTTTAGTATAATCTAGTCTGGTTCAGCATTATCTAGTCTGAGATTAGTTTACTCTAGTCTGAGTAAGACAGAACCCATTTGCCAAATTCATTAAGGCCATTAAGTCACACCCTGTAAAGCACTAAAATCAAAACAAACTTAATATCGCATTCTTATGATAATCATCATCATCACAGTAAAATTTATTTACTAAAATAGCATTCGATTTCATGTAAAGTTTTTCCTTTAGTTTCAGGTAGAATCATAACAGCAAAAGCAATTCCGAGCAATGATACGACACCATAAAATGAAAACACTATCGCACTTCCTAATATTGAAAAAATGGTTGCGAATGTTTTCACATTAATAAAGCTCATCGCATAAGCATAAAAAATTGTGAGACCGACAGCAAGACCTCTCGTATTTTGTGGGTATACCTCAGCTATCATAGCAAATGGTAATGTTAATACACCAAATGTTCCGGAGAATATAAAGAGGAATAGAAATACAGTCGGTAACCAGAAAATTGTTGATTGTTTCAATTCTAAGCTGAATATTGAACAGATGACGAGACCGAACATAGTCAAGCTCATTCCAATTGTCGATATTGCGGCTATTGGTTTTCTGCCATACATATCTGATGCAAATGAAACAATAATGACTGTACAGCAACGGATGAGTCCAATTATGACTGTACACAGAAATTCATCTATTGAAACGCCAGCCTCAATTGAAAATTGTGCAGCATAAATAAATATTGTGAAAATTCCGGAAAATTGTTGGATTGTGAAGAACAAAATCATTATGATGAATGGCTTGTAGAATTGTGGCTTTTTAAACTCTTGCCACGACATTCCTGTTGTTGAATTGCTTCGAGAATTGTTTCGGTTTGAGATCATGATTTGAATCTCCTCATCAATGTCTGGGTGGTTTCTACCTAATTTTATAAAATAGAATTTGATTGAATTTTCATGATGAAAAATTGAAAATTGAATTTTTCCGAGCATGTTCTCGCATTATAAATTTCTATGAAGCTATTGGTTGCTATAGATCCGTCATATGAACGGAAATTTCATTCAAATCAACGTGAAAAGTCGATTAAGTAGCAATTTACATTACAGGAATTTCCGTTACCACAGCGACTCTGATTAAAATTAACAATATGTTCACTCCTTGATATGGAAGGTCAATGAATTGGATTCGAGGAAGAACTACTTTAAATACTAGGAAGTGTGTTAAAAGGGGAAAAAGTTTTTGTAAGGGTGAAATTAAGGAAATTAAAACTTTAACCATAAAATTATTAAAGATTCTTATCAATTTGTGTTGAGGGGTTTTCATAAATGATGTCATTATACTTTTGAGGAAGGACGGGGTCTGCCGCTGTGTGACAAATTTGAAGGCGTGTCTAAAACTTCCTTCATTCTTGCTTCAGAAATTTTGGTATTTAATATCAATTAATCACAAAAAATAAGATTTATAAACCATTGATATAAATACTAAACCTAAGTTAATCTCAAGCTTTATCTACACAACCGAAGAAAACAATTTCATGCTCGGAAAAATTCTAAAATTACAAATTCTCACATTTAAAAAAACCAAAATGGAACAATAAATTCTTAAGAACAAATAAAACTTTATAAAAAAAACTCACGTAGTCTTTTTAAAACTGATAAAGATTTTCTCGCCTGTTCAGTTTGATCAATATTGATCAAATAAACGGGCGATTCCGGTATGAAAAAGCAAATAAAGAGCGTAATTAGTGTGATACCAGCAGCGAAATGACTAACCATGCGATAATCATTCTGAAATTATGAGAAATATTTGCGTAAAGATTTATCAAAGTCCAGATAAGTTCTTGTTTGCAGGGTTGGAAATATTGAATGGTCTGAAGCAGGGGCGTAGCCAGGAATTTGAAGAAGGGGGAACAAAAAATTTTTTGTGTGGAAAAATTTAAGGGGGGGTGAGGGCATTTTGTGTTTTTTTGACCCCCCCCCCCCCCCCCCGACAAGGGGGGGGGGGGGGGTATTTTGGTTTTTTTTGAAGTAAAAATAAATTGGCTCAAGTAACACAAAGCGGCGTCTGTTTGAGATCAGCTGGCCCTGAATTTAACGCAAAATTCACATCCAATTCAATAATATTTCAACTCCACCCGAATGTTTTAACTCCTGAGCACAATAGACCTTACAGATCTGTATCAAGATCAATTATATTTTGTCAAGCACTTGATCAACATTCCAACCCTGCAGATCTTGAAATCATACCGGTATCAAATATCCAAGCAAATAAATGAGCAGCATTCCAAATGCCGTGAAAAATGGCGAGGATAACATCGTCAAACGACCTCTAATATTCGGATCACAAACTTCTGACGTATACATAACAGCGGGTGTTGTGGTCATTCCTATAATTACACCGATGATAGTTCTCGAAATCATTAATTGAATGAAAAGTACATTGACATTATCTCGATTCGAGAATCCGATAATAATCCATGATATTATTGCAATTATGTCGATCAGAATTAATGTTTTCTTTCTACCGATTGAATCTGACAAGTAACCTGACAAGAGTCCACCCAATGGACATGTAATTGCTGTAATTGAAGCAAACCATGACACTTGAGATTCTGATAATTGTAATTGAGAATCTTTCAGCAGCAATTGTGAAGTGATTGCTGGATATCCGAGGCCCATTCCAGATGAAATTATTGATAGATTCGCGAGTGTGCAATAAAGTACTTGAAATGATTTTTCTCTTGAACTCGTCTGGTCTTGCGAGATTTGAAATTTATTTCGATTACAGCACCAACTTAACGCTTTCATGATTTTATTATTGTGATGATTTGACGGTGTGAACTGAACTACTGAGAGTGTTTCTTAAAATATCTCTATTATAGCTCATAGTGAGACAGTTGCACAATAGCTCTTAAAATAAATATTTGCGGCTTATAAATTATCGTTTAAAAGACGTAAGATAAGGAATGCAACCTTAGTTTGTTTTGATTTACTTTATGTGTCATGCAGGTTTGCAAACTTTTTTTGCTAAACTTAATGTAGGTTTTTGGTTCTTAAAATATACTTACTCATACTGATCAATTTTGTCAGAAATTTTCGAAATCGGCATCATCAAAGGATTCGTTGTTCGATGATGATGGTGGGGTGACTTTTGGCTCTGTTTCTCCTGTAATAGCTTTTTCTTACTGCAAATAGAAAAGAGAAATAAAATCAAAATTAGCGGAAATGACAACGAAAATTTAATGATTAAAAAAATAGAATGACCATAAATCGTGATAAGGCACGCATAAAAACAATTTGAATAATGAATCGTGGTAAAGTCAAAAATGACTTAATGATTGGATTGCAAATAAAAAAACCAAAAAGAATCCGACTAAAATGAGCAATTTTTCCATTTTCTTTCACGGTTAGGTTGATTTACGATTTAATCGCTAAATTCTATGTCATGACCATGAGCTTGTTAGCTCCATTTAAAAATCATTTTATAGTCGATGTGACAAATAGATTCTTAATGAGATTGGGATTTTCTTTTTGTAAATTGTTCATTTTAATAGCTTCATTAAAAATGATGGTCTTGTTAAAGTTGTGAATTCATGTAAAACAATATGACAGGACATTGTCGTTTTTAGAAATGGAAAGCACTTCATTATTAGATTGTTGTGAATTAATTGGAGGCAATCAGGACAATGTTTGTTGAAGAAGAATTAATTCGACAAATTCATTCATGAATAGAATATTTAATCAATAAGTTCATCAATGAAGAAACTTAAGTAGTATTCTCGAGTAGGATAGTATGTTGAATAGTCCAAGAATAGTCAGGAACGCAATCTAGTGTTTAAAATGGCTTATTCACATTTAAACATTCTGAGCACTGGTATTAAAAATTCTAATGAGTTATTTGGTTCGTCTAAAATCGACAGAAATGTTATTTCAATATATTACAATTCATTCGACTGTTTTTGGGGATTTGAACAATATTTAGCGAATTTATCAGTGTAACCATAATAGGTCAAAGGGTCAAGTTGTTTAACAACACACTATTAATAAGTAAGCACATCGTTAGGACGTAGGTTCGATTCCCAGCAATTGTCATTCTTTCAATCTATAGCATCATAGTAATTTACACAAGTTTTCACTCAGACTCTTTCATTAAACACATTCAGCAACAAAAATCATGACTTTATCCTCCCAGTATTCCACCAAATGATCCAATCTACAACATTTTAAGCACAAAAACATAAAAAAGAGTTCAATCGGTGCAATTTTAAATCTGCATTAACTTTAATAACACACATCATTACTCATGTTAGCTTTTGATCTCATTCAATCTGTCAGTTGCTTAAAGCGAATTGTAAAGCATAAAGAACAGCCACAAAATAAAAATAATAATAATAAGAAACAGTGTTGAAAATACGAAGAAAATTGAATCATCATAAAAAACGCTTTTATGGCCGTCATAATTCACATAAATGCATGGAGCGTTGCTTCATTAATTTATGATATGGATAAATTCATTCTTGAAAGTTCATGCCATATATACAGCAACGACCAGACAATGTGAGTGGAAAAATAAATCTAATAAACTGTAAGTCATGCTTGCTAATTTATCAATTGCTTCCGTAAATATTAAATTCAAGTTTTCTTGCTTTATAATATTTGCGAATGATTCTTATTATTAGATTATTTGTAAGCAGACTGGTTAAGTGATTCGGAAGACATACATACAGAGATATTATGGAACGGATATTGGTGTGTTAATATTTGACAGCATGAATCGTCAGGTAATTTTGCTATCTTTCAAGTTTCTTTTATCTTTTTTTTTCGCATTTATTATGAGAAAAATTTATGAAAACTTTTATTTTTTTAAGCACCCGAGGAAGATATGAAGTCAAATTGGATTTTTTGCAGTTATCATTAAAATTTTTCAGGAGTTTTTAGATTGATCAGTTTTTTGGGCTTCTCAAATTGATACTACAGATTAGGGGACATTCACTTATGACGTCTGAGAATTAGGGGGAATGGGGGGGTCAAGAATTTTTGACACATTGTGACAGAGGGATGGGGGAGGGGGGTTTACGGACGTCTAAAGTGAATGACCCTACTAGGGCAGTAATTAAAATAGCTTGTGACTAAGCTTAGGATCCTGCAGATAGTTTCAGACCCCTAAAAAGACTTGATATATGGCCAATTTAGTGTCTTAATAAAAAAAAATTACAGCACAGTGATGAGTCTTGATAATTAGCAGAACAATAAATTGATATTGCCAACCAGAGATTATAAATTTTGCCCTTAACAATAATCTTCTTAAAGTAAATGACTTCTTGAGAATATAAGAACCTTTTATCATTCCTGTAATTTTCCAAAGATCTTCAATCATAAGCTATCGAGATATCGCTTAACACTTTGATCTATTGATCGGAACTCAAAAGAAAAATTTATGAAAAGAAATACTTAACGACTTGAAAAATTGCTTGAAGTGCAGAAAAAAATTATTAATGGATTTTTCAAAGAACTAAGAAGACTTTAAACGATATTTTATTATCATTCATTGCTTATTGAATGACTTTTCATTGAATAGATTTTTTTTTCTATAAAATAATAAAAACTTTCTTTCGTTCCTTTCATCGATGAATGAAGAACATACCACAATATAGCAGGTAAAAGAGCGAGATGGAGCGACAGGATGTATAAAATATGGGTAAAGCGATCAGGATTAATAACAACACCTTCAATCAATACACAATATGAAATAAGTGTATGAATAAATTTGTGGTAATGTGAAATTTATATGGAAATCTCTATGGCAATTGAATATAAATAAAACTGTAAAGGAACTAAAAAGTGAACAGTTTCAGAAGGAAATAAATAAAAATAAAATTTATGATTTTTTTCGCGACATGTAAGTTGGTCATTAAGTACTTGGATCGTGCAATATATGTCAAAAATTTCATTTGAAGCTACACATTTATAAAACAGAATGCTAATGAAGCTAACAAGAATTCTTTCTTCGAAATTTCTTTCATCTCAAGCATTTGCTTACTTTATAAATTTACAGATTGTTAAAAGCATTTTAATTAAGATTTTTTTTCCTCATTTCTGATTTATAGGCTGACTTATTTTTATGAAATAATTTCATCGAGACCTTGTTAGCATTTTTGCCATAAATTGTTGTGGTTCAATAATTAGAGAGGAAATATTTTTATGAGGCACAATGAATGTAGCAATTTTCATCCATTTATGGCGTTAATGTAACTTTAATTATGGCATTAAATGGTGCGGTTTATTATTGGATTGTTTTATTTTGGATCTGATAAAAGTAATATTTTTAAGGTAATTCTACAAGTGTAGTTATGATGAAGTAGATCAAACTTTTAAGGTTTATTGACAAATACGAATTTATTAACTACAATTGCAGCCATGTTCGGGCAAAAGAGTTCTGCATATCACCCCCCCTCCCCTTAACTTCATATTCGGCGTAATTCAAGTTAACATGGCGTATTGTTTTTAATGTAAAAATCCCCTCTTCGAATAATTCCCAGCTGCCTTAATAATTCAGTCAATTAATTATTGCAACTTTTTCTCATAACTTAAATCATTAATATTCCATATGATCAACTCAATTTGCTCATTGCACGTTCCAGAAATATTGCCGACTATAGAAATAAAGCAATAACATGTTCAGTTCCATCATTCTAGAATTGTTAATTAAGTAAAATATTTAACAGCTCATTAGTAAAGTAGCGATGCCTTTAAATGATTGACCAAGACATGATTCTTGAGTTTCTGTGAATTGATTGACAGCTTTTCAGTTTTTCTTAATAATTAATTACGTTGATCATTTAAGGATTTCTTAACAAGAAAGGTTCAAACTTTTCCATACTTAAACATGGGAATCTTGGCTGAATATCGGCATATAGAATACACAGTAATTCTTAAGAAGTTTATCGTGTGATACTTTGGTCCAGACTCGAGTAAAATTTCTCATAAATTGCAAAATAATTGAATAATAAGTACTTAAAGTTGAAAACAGAACCCAATAACATCATGTAGCTTAAGGGAAATAATTGAAGTCTATTAGTTGCACAGCATGATTTTATAAGATTGAATAAATCCTTATAAGGCATGAAAAATTGAGCTTTAATAGAGTAACTTTATATTGTAAGTACAATTTCAAAGACATGTTGAGTTTTATATTACAGATGATCAACACCTAATTCGAAATGAATAGATGAACTAATAATGCCTTCGGAGTAAAATTGAATCTTTTGTAAATTTTTCAAAGCTTAAGGGCATGAAATTGCTTGTGATCTTTGAAATGCTTTGATATTCTTCAAGGTTATGCTGCTATTCTGGTCTGCACACATTTAAATGTTGTCTAAACGGCGGCTAAGCGAATAGTTGACTTAAAATAAATCGTCAACAGCTTAGCAATGTCAGTAATATAGCAGCTAGTTGATATCCACTTAGAAATACATTTCCCAAGGGTTTACTACTTGGCTTTAAGTAAACTATTTGCTTTGCAGCAGTATGGTCAGGACTTCTGTGTGTGCTGATCGGAGATTTACAAGATATCTTAAACTTAATCGGTGAATTCCATTTAATATTCTTCATAAGAAGTCTTCCTTTCATCTTATTGACTGTAAACAATTCTACGTGATCGAGTAAGCATAACCAATGCAACCAAACAGAACCGCTCTACGTGCAGTAATGAAGATATGAAGTTCGAACATCTAAAACGATATTCTTGATGCCAATAACTTAGCTCATAATAAAGGCCATCGTTTTATATAAAAATCATTAAACTTTATAAAGATTGACGGTTCCAATACATTCATTTTATATCTCATAATGGCAATTCTCATAAACATTTAAGTATCACGCAATATTTTGCCGTCTTTTCTTCAATTAATTGAAAAAAAAATTTCCTCCAATATCGATGAATTGTAAAGAACAAATTTCAACCATGACTTTGATATTATTTTAGTTGGAAAAAATTGAGTTCACATAAGTAAGACATAGCCTCCCTTTTTTAAAAAAACAAAAATAATATTATTGATATTTTAAAAGCTTATATGCATCCGAAATATACGAAATAAAATAAAAGAGTTATTTATGTGGATCATAATATTATTTATAGACGAAAAAAAAATTTACCACAAAATAACAATATGTACATATATGTGGA